ATGTATGCAATGGAACGGTCAGAGCAACACGACTGGCATCTCCAGCTCCTCAAACACACCTCATTCTGTGTGCTGGGAGCCTTGGGCAGCAAGGTTTGCTGATGGGCACCAACATACAGTTACAGAGGAAGAGTTAGTCCTCGCGTTCCATAACTACGCTCTGCCATGGCTTATCCCTTGTCTTAAGGAAACCAGAATGGCTTTTCTCTTCCAGAGTAGGAGACGATGCTAAACTCTCCACACTGTCTGTATCCCATCGCTCAAAAGATTGTCATGGTCTTCACCCAGAAAAGGAAACACACCAAAAGAAGAGTAACACTTTGCAACGGCGAAATTACTATGAAATTCTAGTTGCTGTGACGACCAACCCAGCTGCACCGAGCCCGGTCACTGCCATTCAGCTGTGTGCCGGCTCTGGCTGTCTGCTTCCACAAGGACGGAGCTAGGCACGATGGGACCACACAGCCTGCAGAATTTACCGCCTGACGCTTTTCAGGGAAAAATACCAAGCTTTGTTTTAGAGAAGTAGGTACAGCGAAATGATGGGTGACACAGACTTCCAAGTCGGCAGAGACGGAGCAGGTGAAACACGGGAGGCATCCACCACATCTTGTGAGCTGCTGAAGCCACAGGGTGAGTTTATGAAGTTCATTACGGTATTCCGTCTTTGCCTGAGTTTATCATTTCCATACAGAAGTAAAAAGAAAGCCTTCAAGGGAGTGATTAGAACACAATCTCTCATTTCTCTGTACCTGAATGACTATTTCACCCGGATTCTTTTCCAGGAAAACAGTTTTGTGGCTGGCTTATCAACAGCCCAGCACTACATAACTGAAAGAGCCACTTTATCTAGGTATCGTTCGGTGGCTGCAAAACAACTGGGACTGTTAAAGGCACCTGCAGAAAAGGAACAAGGATGAAATCTGGCCAAGGACAGACGGCCCTAAGTGGTAACAGCCCCACGCTACAGCAACATGTGCTCAACACGTCATCAAACACCGGCACACAGGAAGTGTGGACTACAAAACACGAATTTCTTAAGGAAAGATAATAACAGCCTTCTAAATCCTAAGAATAAACAGAAGGTCCATTACTTTGTCGCTTGCCCTTTGTGCTTAATGGATAGCAGTTCTCATAACAGAGACAAACGGCAATTACACTTGGACCACGGCCAATTCCCTTTCCTTTGAATAAAGGGATGGAGGGAGCAGTGTGGAAGGAGAGGAGGAGGGAATCCTCACCTGCCTTAGGGTTTCCCAGCTCACCCCCCGTTGGCATGGCCGGGCTGCTCTGCCGTGTGCCTCGAAGCAGTGTCCACACTCTGTCCCACACCATCACACCGGGATGACAAGCAACATGCTGACTCTGCGCCACTCCTCTAGTCCCGAGGGCAGCCGCGAAATTAAAATGCATCAAGCGCTGCCCATTTTCCTTCCACCTCAAGGAAGAACCTAAGGAAATGTCCCCTTGGCTTTAACAGGTACTTGTATTTGAGGGCATCCTTCTCTGTACCCTCACGTTTGACACCCATGGATTCAACCAACCATGGGCCAGAAACATTTGAAAAAAAATCACATCTGTATTGAACATGTACGGACATTTTATTGTCACTGCTTCCTGAATAATACAGTGTAGAAGCTATCACTTGTTATTACACTGCATTCAAGTCTATTTGGAAGCCCGAGATGATTAAATACACAGGAAGTTCTGCAAGGGCTACACAAAAATACCGCACTTTTAAGGCAAAGCACATAGGCTCTGCTGGAGTTGGGTATCTGCAGGGGTGCTGAACCAACTCCTCATGGATATGGAGGTGTGAGTATGATTCCAGATTGCCACACTGGAACTATCTTAGGACTTGTGCAGCCACCTAAACCAGACACAAATCATGTAGCTAAAATGCCTTCCATTTTTCCCCTCCACTTCCAAAAGGAAGAGACAGAAGACGAAAACAATTTGAGACCCTAAGAGCATGCAAATTTCCCAAGACCCCGCCTCCAAGGCTGTACTGGTAAACAGAGACAGAGGGAGACATCAGCAGCTCTTCCCTGGGGAAATCAAGACTCAGGGCCACCTCTGCCTTCCCTGGGGTAACCTCAGATACTCGGGAGCAGCCTTTTGACAAAGGGGAGGAGAGACACAGGAGGTAGGAGTTCCTGGATCAACGTTTCTGGGGCCAAAGGAACAGCCAACCTTCAAGAGGAGGGGCTGATGGCTTTCTCTGGAACCATGTTGACCTGCAGGCCAAATGTGAGGTTCAATTTCAAACCTTGCCTGGGAGCCCTGAGCTCCCCTGGGGGATATCTCTTCCCCAGCTGCCCTTACTGCTGCAGCATCCCACAAGGTGCCAGCTACCTATGTTAGATAATATCACAAAGTAAACTGTATTAATTTCTTCCAGGATCTCCCTAGACACATCGTACTGTCTCACCAATATAAAATAGATCTTTACTTCTAAATCAAAGTAATCCAAAATCCTAATAAGTTAAAACAGGGTATCAGCTTGCAAGCATCCCATGGCTTCAGTGTGTGTTTAATATTATATTATACAGATATAGCTGTGGGTAGGTAACTGACTAAAACAATAATGGATGTGATTTTAACCACTCAAAATTTCAGATACTAAATGGTTGCTATAGCAACCGAAGACAGTCTGCTTTGTGAGTTTCTGATATTTTTCTATGATAGTAACTGTTGTTAAAGTTATGCTTTAGTATACACGGTTTAAAATACCCAAGTTAAGTTTGCCAAGGGAATCATAATATTACTTCTTAAATCATTCTATGGCTTGTATACCTGCTAACAAAACTGCCCTGATACACAGTTGTGATTCTTTTCAGCATAACCTATAAAAGAGGTGACAAGCCACTGCGAAAGGCTGACCACACACAAGCATCTCTAACACAAAATGGCAACACAGCACACACACACAATTTTCATTTTAAACTATAACAAAGTGATCATTTATCATTTCAGGGTAGTGATTTTCAACCTCAGTTCACAATGGTTGAATTACTTGGGGACCCTTTAATAAAAAACTGGGCCCACCCCAGACCAACTGGATCAGAACCCAGGAATAAACCAGAAGCACTTAAAAATGGCCCATGGGATTGTACAGCAGAGGCACTGCTGAGAACTGTACATGTAGCCCTGTATTTCTTCAGAGTAGCAACCAGCTTTCTCCTATAACATCACAGATTCCCACAATAAATTCTCCCACTATAATGAGAAATAACTGAAGATGTGCAACCTCAACAGCTCAAGTTTAAGTACGAGTATTACAAGTGCAGAACATCTGAAAAACAAAAGGAGCAAACTGACTGACACATGCTAGTAAATTCTTGGAGAATCTTAGGACATTGGAGGTGACAGCTTGCACTTTCTATTGTGTCCTCTCCAGTCCACAAATATTGAGAGTAAAACACTATTTTTCTTGAAAAATTAAGAATTAAATTGAAGATGAAAAGAGCTGTTTCATTTCATAAGATGCTTAATGCCTTGAGGAACATGTCAATAAAGGGTGTTGGTCCCGACTGAAGAGCCAATCTGGATAACATCTCATACAAGCAACCACTTACAGAGAAAATAATTCTGAATCCCTAACATTGAGAATTTAAAAATAACTGAGAAGTGAGATACAAAGGCGAAGAAAAAGTAGTTGAACACTGAAGACAGTTTTTACCAGCTGCAAAAGCTTTTAAAGTCCTGATTACAAAACTTTCAGAAACAAGAGGAAAGGCAAAGATGAACCTGGAACATGCAGTTTCGGCCTCGTGTACCCGCTGCTCCTTCACAGCTAGGGACGCGGCTAGCAGGGACAGGATGTGAGAAGACAGACACCGGGCCTGTGCTTTATCCTGTGCAGACCCGAGGTAAGAAACCTCCCCTCAGCCGACTCAGGCTGCGGAGAACATTCTGATGGGTCCCATTTCTCCGGAAATGAAGCAAGGAAGATGACCATGTACTTCAGTTCTAATGACTAAAAGGGATGAAGGGCTTAAACATGATATCACAGGAGACGGCACAGCGCCGCCATTCTGTCCGCACAGAAGGGAGGAGTCTGACGGGGCTTGAGGCGCTGGACACAGAGAGCGCCAAGGAAGGGAGTGGGGCCCAGCTTGTTGCAGAAGACAGGTGCAGAAGGGGAGACATGAAATGCAGCTCAGGAGCAAACGGAAAGAAATAAATAAAAATAAAAGGGCCGGGGTTTGGTGCGGTATTAGAGTGTGTCTAGCATACTCAAGGCCCCGGCTCAAGCCCCAACACCACAAAAGTAATAATCCTACACAGAACAAGGAAAGAAAGGGAAACAAATCAACTCCGGTCAAGATGAGGAATGAGCATGGGTGGAACTGGAAGGCGCTGGGGGACTCCAGTGAAACCTAGAGCTTACTGAGGGGCTGGGCCTGGGGCCCGGCTCATTTCAATGCTCCCTCCGTCAGGATTCCTGCAGCAGGCTTAGACCCCGGAGGTCAGGCATGGGCCATGCAAAATATGGAGGGGGCATTTGGAAGACTACGCAAGTCATACAAATGACATCCATCTGTATACTTTGAATGCTTGAAAGGAAAAGATGTGTCATTAATTTCTATAATTAGGTCAATTACTTGGAAGTTCAAATTACTAGAAGATCTATGAATGGTGTGAGCGTGTCAGTGCGTGAGTGTATGTGTGATTCCTGGGATTTTTCTCAGGAGGAAGAGAAGAAAAGAGTAAAGTAAAGAGAAGTGCTTTATTTTACACTGTAATATACTGCTCTAAAAATAACTTGATGGCATGGTCTCCCAGATGAGATTACTAAGCAAAAGCAACAGGGAAAAACAGAAAATCAGAAGGAGTGTGAAGAACAACAATCGTTCATGTAGGACACCTAGGAACTGGCCATGTGCTGGCAAACTACGGGAGGCCAACGTGGGTGACTGGACCCAGACTCCGTACTCCGGCTCCCCCTCTAGAGTAAATGTTCCCCTCCTGCTGGACACCTGCCGGCAGCACCATACCTGTAACCACAGCCTGTCCTCCTTGGATGAGGTCCTGCCGATCGCACTGCACTGGAAGGTGGCGGACTGGCCAGCGTTCACCTCCACGTTCTGGATCCGCAGGAAGTGGGGAGTCCGGGCTACAGGAAGACAAAGAAGTGAAGACATTATAAGTGGGGATCTGAAACGAACACACGTATTTGTCAATCTGCCTGCAATCTGGGGCCTTCCTTTTGTGCTCCCTTTGGGAGAAAAGGACACTTTGCTTAGTAGAGCTTTGAAGACTTCAGTGCAGTTGTGAAAGAGCACAGAAGGGTTTGGTGTGCTCTGTGTGTAAAAAGAAAAAAGCCAAGCAGTGTGGGACAGCATCAAACAAGAAGATATTTCATTGTTCCTGCTGTGCAAATTATCACAGCTCAGCAGTCTTCCTGTAATAACAGATCTGTATTAATAAAGATTATACTGACGCCTAATTGATGTTTTGAACAAAAACATATTAGATATTTATACTAGCAACATGAAAAGAACAGTGAGAAGTTAAATGATGTTGTCAAGGAAACTTTGAAATGCAAATACAGAGCTGTGCATAATATATATTTTAATACAACTAATTGATACATAACATTACTTGTATAATATTTTCCAACTACTAAAAATACTATCCCTATAGACACACTCTGTGAACGATGCTGCAGTTGTCACAGCTTGGAAATTTTTGCTGATTCTTATTTCCAATTCAAGAAGTAAAACAAGTCCAAATGCTAACCAGCATTGTTTCATAACGTACATCGCCCATAACGGACAGCTGTTTAAAGAAAGGATGATTTTATTTGACCTGAGAAGCACAGAGGAATTTCATCATTACAGGTGTCCCGGAACTTGAAAGATTGGCCAGGATTTAAATGTTGTGCAACTTCTTCTAGGAAAACAATCATTCCAGGTAAGAGGGAAACAGGAGCAAATGGGGAAGGTGGAGGAAAAGGAAGTGAAGAGTAGGACCGTATTTTCTGGACAGGACGGATGAAACCGGACACTAACGAGAGGAAACGAGTCACACCCTGCAGCTTTCTCCCACTGCCAAAGGGTCCTCAGCCCAGGTCCACAGACACTGAGAGAACATTACCCTGGGACTGGCTGCCCAGTGATTATAAACTAGCACTCACCGGAGCCTGAGCCGAACATAATTAGGAATGGAAGTGGGTTATAACCAAAGAACAGAGAAAAATGTATTTTATTATCAAGAACCCAGGAAAACTCTATTACTAATTTGGAGGCCACTAATAACACAACATATTCATGATCTTTAGCATGCAAAATGTTCTAAATGGCTCTAACAAAGTAGCATAATTAAGGACTCTTGTTTCTTAATGTTAATATATTAATGTACAACTCGATGAACTCTATTTTGCTGATTTAATCAAGACTCTTACTCAAGAATAGCATAATTCTATGGTTTTTAAAGCCCCCTTGAAAAAGGCCCTACATTAAATTTTTCTACTACTCTTTGTTCTTGAGGAACTGGAAAATGCATTAGAAAATGGAAAAGTAAGTAGCATTCACTGAGTACTCATGTGCCAGAGACTTTCCACTGAATACTCACAGATGTTCCGTGAGGTCAGGGTCTGCGGCACTGCTGTGGACGGTGGAATGTGCAGGTGCTTGGCTAGTTAGAGGGAGAAGCCAGCTCGGCTCTGGGCTCTAAAGCCCAGGTGCCAGCCACTCGGGTGCATGACCTCTCCCGGGCCAACACCACCTCTGCCTTCCCAGTGCTCTTCACCCGCCGCCCCATGGCCCCTCTGCCTGCCTGCTGGAATCCTGGCTTCTTCCACAGCCCTCCTCCAATGAGGGTCATCCCACAGAGCTTCCGTGGGTTGTGGATCCTCCTATGTGGTCCTATAGCTGCATCTCAGTGCAAGGGAGCTGACACTCAGGCCACACACACACTGCAGACGCTTGACAGCTGCATTACATGTTGTGCATATTATTTCAAATTAAGACCCCCCCACACACACACACACCTATCCCTAAAAACTGTTCAGTGAGATTCCACCTCTGTAGCAGAATTCTACTCTTCCATTTTCTCCCCTGACCACTGACACAAAACATTTTTACTACAGAAATAACTTTCTAGGGCTGGGCCTATAGCTCAGTGGTAGAGTGCTTGCCCAGCATGCAAAAGGCCCTGAGTTCAATCCCTAGTACCACACACAAAAAAGAAAGAAATAACTTTCTAACAGTATAGTGGTACCTCGGTTCACAAATGTAATTCTTCAGAATTCAAGACTGTTGTGAATTGAGTTACCACTGCAAGTTACACTTACCTGTACTAGACATTCCCAACATTAATAGAGAATTTTGAGATTTTATTTTAGAACGGGGCATCAAACTCAGGACCTCACGCTTGCCAGGCTAGTGTTGTGCCTCTGAGCTATATCCCCAGCCCAAATTTTGAGATTTGACTAAGAGAACTGTATCAAAAGCCAAAAGGCTGGTTTCTTATCAAGGAAACTGAAAGAATGTTGAGTATGGCTCTTGTTCTGGTCAAACATAAATATAAACATGACTATTTGTAATCAATGATTATGGGTAATCAATCCTGTAATAAACTGAAAATCGAAAACTTTTTCAGAGCCAGTATGATACTACAGGAGGAAAATTCTATACAACTTCATGGTGTGGGTCACTGTCCAAGCATGGATGTGCGAAAATATTGTATAAAATTAACTCCTGGCTATGTGCGAAGGGTCACAAAACACAAGTGAAGTCCACGTTTAGATTTTGTCCCCGAGAGAGTCATGCATACACAAACAGTCCAAACTCCCAGACAGTTCTGGTTTCGAGCACTGTAGGCAGGAGATCCTCAACCCCTGCACCCGCGTCAGCGCGTGGCAACTTTCTCAACTGCTCATTTCCTCTGCAAAGTAATTCGAAGCACATGACCCTCAGCCACAGGCCATCAACCCACAAGGACTCACAGTTAGAAAATAAGGCAAGTGATGGCCAGGAAACTCCTCTGTGCATGGGTGCATCTGCACACACACACACACACACACACACACACACACACACACACCCTACAGTGCCGGGCTCTTGGCACCCGCTTGCCCACTTCCTGTCACCATCCGTCACCACGTCTCTGTCTCGGAAGCCTCCCCATCGGCACCCCCTCACTAGGAAGCTGCTCCCCTCAGAGCTGAGCGAACCGCTGGGCTGCAAGCCTCTTCCCTTCCTCTTCCAGACTCACAAGTCCGGAAGCAAGAAACGCTGTGGGTCACACACATGTCTTTTCAGAACTTTCTTTTCCTTCCCAACCCATCTTCCCCCCCATGCATCCTTCTTCCCGGCCCTCCCACTCAGGCCGAGGCGTCTCCGCGCAGAGCCTGTGGGCTCTAGATAGCTGTCTTCACCACCAAAGAGTCAACAGCCCGGGACACACCAGCAGCTCGCCAGCCAGACCCAAGTCCCAGGAGAAAACAACAAAAAGTAACATTCCTGAGGCTCTCGGATACAAGGAGCCTGTGAAGGCCGACACTGGAGCCAGCAGCCAGCCACAGGGGCCGTGAGGAATCCTGGAGATTTAGCCTCAGCAGCCCTGCAAAGGTGTCCTTGACACTGCGCCATTCACTGGACAGCAGCATGCAGGGCAAAAAACGACAGCCACCATTCCGTCACCAGTCGGCTCGTGCTTGAGGCCAGGTTCCCTGCCGGGGTCACCTGATGCAAAGTGCCACCCAGGATACCCCTGTCATATGTAGGACAGTCATTCCCTTTACTAAAGCAGACCCGCAGTGCAGCAAGGGAAGAGGGTGGCAGTGGACACAGGGCCAGCATCACCTCCACGTGGACCTGGGAATGGCCACTAAAGGCATCTCCCTGTAGGCACAGAAAGGAGTCACGGCAAGGGACGGACACGCTGGGAGCCAGGGGCAAGGCAGCCATGTGCAGAGGCAGAACCTGCTGTCTGTCACAGGGCACACACACGGCAGCCTGGGCACCCATCTGTGGGGGCATCGTGCCAAGTGCTGCCAGCTCTTGAGGAGTTTGTCTGAGTCTCATGAAGGTTCTCAGCCTGGAAGGCCTTGGCTGTGTCTCTTTCCCCCAATGGCCTTTGTTGTCGGGCTCTGCTGCGGCAGCAGCAGTATTTGCTGTCTTTCTCAGGCTCTCCCTGAGCACAGGGATGCATCTCCTCCTCCTTCCTCTCCCCTGGGAGCCTGTTTGTCCCCTGAGTAAACTGAGTAAAGTGCAGCCAGGTAACCCTCTGGAGCTGGGCCAGAGCCCCAGCCACTTCCTCACGAAGGGCCTTCCTGGCTGGCGATCGATCCTGCCTCCTGGCTGTGGTTTGAGGCCTCTCTGTTCTCCCCGGGGCTTCATCCTGCATCTGGGGTCTCTCCTGGGAACATGGACTGAAGCCCATCCTGTGTCAAGTCCTTCCTGACCACAGATCCCTGCTGGACACCTCTGCCCACTTCCTGTTGGCACAACTTTACAAAGAAGGGTTAGCACTCCCCTGAGTCCTTCCACAACACTCAGCCCCAGCCTGCAGCTCCTCGGGGAGCTTTCTCCTCTCCCTCCTGCCTGCCCCGCAACACCCAACTGAGAGGAAAGGGCCCCTGATCTCCTCAGGGCCACTCAGGGACCCCCAAAAGTAACTGCTGGGGAAAGGCCAACTGGAAACAAAATTTAGGCCACAATCTCTGTAAGATTCTATGTTAAGAGAAAATCTTAAATACCTCCTCCACAACAATTGATAAAAGGACTTAGCACTCATATTAAGCAGGCCACAACTTGCTTTATCTGCCTGAAACACAATGTAGATAAAAATAAACAGTGAACCAAAGACAAGGACCAACTTCCCTAGGTGCACTGGTGCATTCTGTATCACAGTGCTGATGCTTGACTTACGACTTATGACTAAAGGTTTAGAATCAAAACTAGGATGTCTAGATGTGTCTGTCTCTATGTTTAAATGTGTACGAGCCATGAATGTTATGGACATTTCCCTACCTCTGGATGCATCAAGTTAACAAAGGAGCTCTGTTATAACTGGAAAGAAGGATGTGCTTATATAAATAAATATCCCTAAAACTCTCAGAAATAGAAGAACTAATCCAAATGATGTTCCAGTTCACTTGGCCCGGGT